ATATACAGTATATATTTAATGTATGTGCAACTTGGCAAGAAAAAATATAACTATAACTTATTTATTTTTACAAATGAACAAGTAAAATATTCTATATTGATTTTTTTGTCATGAAGCAATATTAAGCATGGTCTACACCACCAACATGTAGTACTGGAGACTCGATCTGAAATGGGAAGTTGAAGCCACAGAGGACGAGCGCTCCAACATTTAAGCCCCGCCTCCCCATGTACTTTATAAACAAAAAGAAAAGTTCCCTGACTATAACCCAAAAGTACACTTCAGGTAAGATTTTTTTTTAATTGTAGATTTTTGTTGAGTCACGTGTTCTACTTTTGCTGATGTAGGTTCAGATCTGATTTATTTACAACAAAGCTTAGTTTCCTTTAGTTATTTAAGGCTTCAGATGGTGTCATGGGTTTGACACTGTGAATGATAAATAACTGCCTGTTGCAGTTTTTGAGGGTGTGCAGACGGGACTTTCATAATGAGAGTGCAGCTTTTTGTCCCTTGTGCACAAACTGGATCCAAATACCCAGCAGCCACTAAAAATCTAATATTGTGGCTTCAGTTTTGGACTAAGGTAACTGAGTAACTTTGTTTATCTTTTTTTATGTTGATAGTATACACTATGTTATTATTATTTTAATAAAAGAACTAATATCCTATAAATTTATATAAAAAAAATAGAAGTACATTCAGGGGTATCTGTGATGTAATGTGTTGTACTAGTTCAGGATGGGAGACTGCGATGAAATGAAGACGACGTGTCTGCTTCCTTCCTTCCTAAGCTATATAACTTTACTAGTTGGCATTTATAATGTATGTGAATGTTTTTGTTCAGTGCCCTGAGATAACCTCTGTTGTGACTTGGGGCTATATAAATAAACTGAATTAAATTGAATTGTAATAACTGTAATTGAAATACAATAAGCCGGTGATTTGTCTGAGTACAAATTTCAGCCCAATACAAATTATTTAGAATGAAAAAAGGAAATACTGTAAATCTAACTCTGTGTGTTAAGTTAAAGGTTAAGAGTACCGTTTTAAGAAACAGCAGATCACATGACCTAAATCTTATAATAAAACAAATGATATAAACTGGGAGAATCAGGTGATTTTGAATGGGATGACTCACATGCTGACCACTCACATTTATATAAACCTTTTAAATAATCAACACAACGGAGATAGACAAGGACCAGACTACTGACTGATCAACATGTAGCACATGAGCTGGATTTACGAAGGATGCAGTCATTTGTCAATTAAATAACGACATTAAAACAAACAAACATATGGCTTCTACTGCCGCTGAGACAAACTAATGCTGGCACCAACCTAGAAAAACAACATACCTAACATACGCCTCATAGTAGCGCCTTCTGTCCAAGAAAGCAGAGGAATGATTGAGAGAAAGCAATTTAGTTAAGAAGGAGAAACACTGAAAGTATGGGGGAGAAAGAATGACACACATACATTAATATGTATGTATGTATGTATATATATATATATATATATATATATATATATATATATATATATATGTATGTATGTATGTATGTATATTAAGGATAGGGCAGGATGGCAGATGAGAATACTCTGTTGTATCAATTTTTGTACCATTTAGATAAAACTCCTTCCCCATGCTTGAAGAGACAGCTGTGAAATTGTCGGCCAAAATTATTGGGCACTAAAGTAAAAACTGACACTGGAGGAGCTAAATAAACAGGTGAATAAATGGGAAATCATGAAATGAGTTTTATTGGTCACTGATGACATTAAATATCCAAATGAAAGCAGGCTTGTTGTGATTTGTTTTAGAGTTGAAGGTTCAGAGACATGGTTTGTAAACAGGCTGATAATAATCTGTCCATGGAAGAGATACTTTCAGCAGCAAATCATGTCTTTGGATTGCATTGTTGCACAACGTTCTCAATCCAGAACTTTTTTATAAATGTCCTTAGATGCACTGTTATAAAACTGAAGATGTGCATTAAATGAACAAGGAAGTGTCTCAGGCAAAAATTAAAGGAGGAGAAAATAATTATACAAACAAATGTTGCCACCTGGAATGTTTTTTTCTAATCAAGACATGCGTTTTGTGTTTGCAGCTTATATTGCCACCAATATTGACATACCAAAATAAATATTTGTGACCATCTATATCAGTTCTGAAAACAATTTATGCCAAAGTTAAAGAGACAGTTTATTTCTTTTGAAGTGGGGTTGTTGTGGGAAGGTTATTAACAATTAATATCTTACTTGTACATAGCTTTTTGAACAACCACAGTTTGGAGAAACTAGAGCTGTCATTTCTAACCTGGGCCCGAAGCCCGGCCCGGCCTGAATTTGGGCCGGTCCAGGCCATAATAATGCATTGGATGGATGGGCCAGGTCGGTGTCGAGCGTTTGATTGCGTCAGATGACGATCCAAGTATAAGGCAACATAGTTTGCCATAAAATCCAATTATATGGCAACATGGCTTGCCATACTATCACCAGCCGCACACTGCCATTTGACCGCACGCTGACCAGACTTGAAAGAGGTAAAAAAAAAAAAAAAGTTCAGTTAAGCTTTACATGGGACCACTGGTACTGCCAGTGCCAGGCAGTGATCGATAGCCCAAATGGACATTCAGCCGCTGCACTCAGCGGATGCGCACGACCGACGACCCGAACAGGTGAGATCCCAAAGCAGACATGTCAGAGCAGGGTCCGTGTCGGAATAATGCAGAATTCAGGCAGAAGCAACCAGGGATTAAACACGCTTTGACGGCCACGAAAGGACAAACACCCCCTCAGCTCCAATCTTCTGCTCCTTTTATTCAGCAGCGCATATCCGCCAACCGTTAATAAGTATATAAGCAGTCAAAGCTTAATTAAATATGTCGGGGGTGGTGGTTTGGGTTCGGCCTTGTAATTATTGTTAATCCGTCGGGACGGTTGGGGTTAGGAAATGATGGCTACGGGCTGGGGCCGAGTCGGGTCAGATATTTTTGGGCCCGAATGCAACTCTAGGAGAAACCCAGATTATCTTGTATCAGAACGTCAAGCCTTCAGTCAGAGAAGAGTTGATGCTAAAGTCGATTTCTTCCTTTTTAAAACAACTCCAAAGTCAAAAATGTCATAGTTGATCATGCAAATGCCCTGTTTTAAACCCTCACAGTACTGTCAGTTTAGCAAGATCTACTGTATTACGTGAGGTCATTATTTTACAACTTTCACACTGTGTCTAGGACACAGTGAGAGATATGAATTTTTTATACCTCCCCTTCCCCATGTTTCTCTTTTCCCATCTAAAAGAAAAAGGCAGCGCCTCCCATAGGCTGCGGCCTCAGACACCTCTGTCCCCCCATGTCTGTTTGTTTATGTTTTACTCGGACATGCTGTACTGAAATATAATTTTGTTGTACTTCGGTGCAATGACAATAAAGCTGATTCTGATTTTCATTAAAAGTGATAGTTGTTAACATTGAGGCCATGTAGGTTTGTGGTCCCTTATAAATAAGGTTTATTGGGAAATATGTATTTCAAAATGGAGTGTTAGGCATAACCAGGCAGACTGATGTAAAAGTAATGCAGCAGTTCAAGCAATGCACTTTTATTGATTTTCACACAGTCTTACTGTTTGTATCGAGTATTTTCTGCAGCTAAATATACCCAGCATGTTCTGTTTTGCAGCAGCTGTTTACCATGGAATCAAACTGGTAACAGACTGCAGACAACTCTATTGTCAGTGTAAATAACTATAAGACTTCTATCTAAATATCAGATAATGTGAAATCAGTGGTAAGACAAATCTACAAAACAGCACTGCCATCAAATTTTGAGGTTATAATTGTTTTATGACGGCAGAAATCTACTCATTTCCCCTCGTGTAATTGGCTCTTACCTGCGCCACCTGTTGTCCTTCCCAGGTGTTATTTGTCTGTCATAAACCCAGTTTTTCCAAACTAAGGCTGTTTAAAGAGCTATCTACAACAGGTAAAGCCCTGACTGCTCATAACTTTTTAACAGAACACTATTAAAAAAAAAAAAACCTCCTTTAAGACATGAAAAGAGAAAAAATGAGAAAGAATTTGTCTTTGGACGATACATGAAGTCTTACTGCCAAAGTTTATGTTGAAGTATTTTCTTCATATTTATACATATTCAGTTCAAACATTGTTTGTTTTTGTAAAGCAAGCAAGATGCTATGAAACAAAGCACACTAGAAGACAAATGGTGCAACAATGGGCACTGCAACAGAGCTCATGGGTGATTTGAACTCAGTGTGATACCTTTGACCTTGGGGTGTCCGCGGCTTGTGGTAGTTGTAATAGGAGCTGCATAAACCTGGGTATCCATTGGGAGGTGCGTGATCGTAGTAGTAATGGTGCCCTCCATTGGGTAGACTGGACACGTTGGCGTTGTTCAGGTTGATGTTGGTGGATTTGGGGGACTTGCCGTAGGAGTTGTTGTGGTGGTGGTGATGGTGATGGTGGCGATGATGGTGGCTGGCGTGGGACATTGCGTTGGCTCGAGACAGACGCCCCACCGGCTGCTCCAGGTGAGCGTAGTGTGGTGGAGGCTGCACCTGCAGGGGGCGCTGTGTGGTGTTGGTTTGATGCCCGTCAGGTCGCCGATGACCGCCGTTCATGAGATGGTTTCCAAAGAGTCCGCCGTTACGCTGTGAAAACATGTTAAATGTAAAACTATGAGCGCGTTCGACTCTTACAAAATACAAGGGCACACGTAATATTGATGTTAAGTCTGGGAACTGATACTGACTCAGAAATGAAGCAAAAATAGGTTTAAAAGCTGGCAGATGGTATGATATGAGCTTAAATGGAGGAAGAAAAAAAAATCTGAAAATCGATATAAATAAATAAAAACAAAGCCCTAAACATCATACAGGCAGTAAAACTTAGATTAACACTTGATTATCATTTTTTTAAATTTAGCATGAAAATAGATGTTTTCCTCAAAAATCTAAATTTTACAAACATTTTCCCCTCATGTAAACTTAAATCAAGTTACCCTATAAATTTCCTCGTCTTCCTCAGGAATAAAGTCTACTAGATCGTCATCTTGCAGATCACATGATATCGCTCGGCGAATTTCCGGCCCAATATCATGGAGCGTGCGGAGGCCAGCCTGTAACCATGACAACAAGAGGGCTAAAGCACTGCGGCTGGGACCTTCAGCTCACATCTTACAGCTCAGTGTACAGTCACAACCACCACACATTCTAAACATGCACGCACCTGAACTGTGCAACACCTGACATTCACAGAACTGACAGGCCGGAGGAGATGAGAAAACAGAGACAGACACGTGTGCTCTTCTGAATACTCACTGTTATTTAGCTATTACAGTGCAGTCAGAAGTTTACATACACTTATCATAGGCATAACTGCTGTTTTAATTTTGGGTTTTTAATGACTGATTTAAACCTTAATTTTTAGGGTTGAGTGATGATTCAACTTTAGTGTTTTCTTTGTTTGCTAGCACGTTGCTCACCAACTGCACACTGTATTCATCAACAAATTTGTAGCATAATTCTGGTTGGGACCACTCCTCCTGGCAGAAAAGTTTGTTTAATAGCAAATTTTGCTTTCAGGTAT